TGACAATGATTGCTGGACAATGTCCTCACAGATTAAGAAGAGACTTGAGGAAGCAGAAACAAATAAAAAAAGATGAACTGTTATGCAACATCGATCCTCCTCTATGACAATTATTGCTGGACAATGTCCTCACAGATAAAGAAGAGACTTGAAGCAGCCGAAATAAAGAAAAGAGTGCTGAGACCTTTATGAAACATCGATCCTCCTATATGGCAGTGAATGTTGGACAATCTCCACACACATGGAAAAGAGACTTGAAGAAGCAGAAACAAAGAAAAGAGTGCTGAACCGTTATGCAACATCGATCCTCATATATGACAATGATTGCTGGACAATGTCCTCACAGATTAATTAAAGACTTGAGGAAGCAGAAACAAACAAAAAAAGATGAACTGTTATGCAACATCGATCCTCCTATATGACAATGATTGCTGGACAATGTCCTCAGAGATTAAGAAGAGACTTGAAGCAGCAGAAATAAGAAAAAAGTGCTGAACCTTTATGCAACATTGATCCTCCTATATGGCAGTGAATGTTGGACAATCTCCAAAAACATCGAGAAGAGACTTGAAGAAGCAGAAACAAAGAAAAGAGTGCTGAACTGTTATGCAACATCGATCCTCCTATATGACAATGATTGCTGGAAAATGTCCTCGCAGATTAAGAAGAGACTTGAGGAAGAAGAAACAAATAAAAAAAGATGAACTGTTATGCAACATCGATCCTCCTATATGACAATGATAGCTGGACAATGTCCTCACAGATTAAGAAGAGACTTGAAGCAGCAGAAATAAAGAAATCAGTGCTGAACATTTATGCAACATCGATCCTCGTATATGGCAGTGAATGTTGGACAATCTCCACACACATGGAAAAGTGACTTGAAGAAGCAGAAACAAAGAAAAGAGTGCTGAACCGTTATGCAACATCGATCCTCATATATGACAATGATTGCTGGACAATTTCCTCACAGATTAAGAAGAGACTTGAGGAAGCAGAAACAAATAAAAAAAGATGAACTGTTATGCAACATCCATCCTCCTATATGACAATGATTGCTGGACAATGTCCTCACGGATTAAGAAGAGACTTGAAGCAGCAGAAATAAAGAAAAGAATGCTGAACCTTTATGCAACATCGATCCTCCTATATGGCAGTGAATGTTGGACAATCTCCACACACATGGAGAAGAGACTTGAAGAAGCAGAAACAAAGAAAAGTTTGCTGACCTGCTATGCAACATCGATCCCCTTATATGGCAGTGAATGCTGGACATTTATTTATGAATAAAACATCAAATAATTTGGTAGTTTTGGAAGAGACGATAGTGTTTTTAGTTTGAATATTGATGAATTTATCGATATTTACTAAGTTTGGATTATAGAATGTAAATAATAAGTCCACATCCCCAAAATTCAGACAGACATTATCCACAATTATGAAAACAATTAGTAACTTTACATTTTTTTTTCCAATGGAAAATCAAATAAGAACTTTTAGTTTGTATTCGTGAAAGTTTCAAGGTTTCCCTATTTATATTTTCCAGTGATTCTTATTTCATGAATAAATAAAACTCATTTCGTGTTCTACGACTGCAAAGATTCGTGAAATTTTTTTATTGCATGATTAAATATTTGAGCTTAACAACTTTAACCAGTTATTTACAGATTAAGAGGGTTCAAATGAAAAGATTCAAAATTGACACGTGTTTCCTTTTCAATGAAGCAGACGTTAAACACATGAGTGCGTTATCGCCTCCTCTTTTTTCTCGCTATTTCTTTTTTTTTCTTTCTTTAAAACGAAACAGCGCCTTTGATATATCTTTTCTACCATCTATTCTCGTAATCAAACAGGAATGGCTCATTGGTTATCTGAGGCAATGACAGCGCGTATTGTGCATGCTAATTTAACAAGATATGAGGGAACAAGCAGAATCGTAATAGGATGAATTCTCTCTTCGAGATCCTTCTTTATTTGTACATTCAGGCAAGTAAATTTTCACACAGATATTTGTATTTTTGTTTCAAGACATGTTGGCACCAATGGAGCCTGGGCCAATACAATAATAAAATCTTTTACTTTTGCAAATATTGTTTAACACTTGAAATACTCAGATGGAATATCCTTATAATTTCATATATATTTTTGACATTCATGATTTTGTTGCATTTTATCACAATCTGGAGAAAAGAGGTAAACAACCTTTTGTTTGAAATGGTGAGAAACGTCAACATTTTGATTATGTTATCGTTTTCTCTTAAAGTTACATATGCTATTCGTTTGAGCATATGTAACTTCATATGTTGGCAGTCCTCAAGTGGTTTCTGTTATTTGGTACAATTCTTTGCTTGTGATTCTGTAGTTCCAGTTCACAAGGTTCGAAGCAAGCAAAAGAATTGTACCAAATAAGTCGAAGAATGAGGGTCGAAGTCCTCGCCGAAGAACGAGAGTCATTCAGTCTTAGCCATTTTAAACAATTGATCTGAGAAAGCGATAAAGGACCTGGCCACAATGTGAATGGTGGGTAAAATTCAACGGTTATTTTTACATGATAAAGCAGGTTCCCCTAGTAAGCGATGAGAATTTAAGCCTCATTCAAAGCTGCTACTTTCTCCGAAATTCCCTTTATTCGATATTGAAGAGTCGATCTGACAAAGGCTTGGCTATGGCAAAAGTGTTATAATAGTGACAATAAAACATGTAGAATTGTAAATAATACTTTTTTTTAATTTTTTATTTTTTTATTGAACTCATTAGCAAACTGTTTTCCTGTGGCTTCATCATCACAATTATCCAATATTTTCTCTTTCAGTTACATGTGGTACTTATTGAGTTGCTGATGCTGTTGGTGATGACATTTCTGTTATTTGATACAGTTCTTTGTGATCCTTAGGAAGATCATTTTAATATTTTTTTTAAAGAAACGGCATATATTGCCATTGCAAGAACTTGTGCTGATTCTAATTTAGGTAGTGAACATGAAATAATTTATATATTTTGATAAAAGAAAAAGAAGTGAAATTCAATTCTGTTATTTAAATTTTTATTGATTTTTTCCATTTATGAATTTAAAAACATCTAATCAAAAAATATTGTTTTTATCTTCAACAACTTCTCAAAAATATTTTCTTTCCTTTTTTCTTTCCTTTTTTTTTCTTCTCCGTTCGTCTCTTTTACTTTGATTTTTTTGTCTACATTGACTTTAAATAAAGCAACATAAAATGGCAAAATACTAGTATTTGCACTAGTATATCCTAATGTTTACGTGTGTGTGTGTGTGTGTCTTTAGGCATTCTAGAAGTTTTTCTTTGGACTTTATTTGTTTTTAGTGTTTCTCCTAATAATGTAATCATTACGAGATCCATAGATAATATTATAATTTGTACAGGAAAATGAATGTCCATTTACAAATGTTTATACACTTGATAAAATAAAAAAAAAAATAACTAAAAACTGCCAGTATTCCTTATTTTTGTCAATTACAATATATAAAATTATTTTCTTTTACTTTATCATTCTTATGTTTTCAATTCTATTCTTGGAAGTTTTTTTTGACTATGAAACCACGTGAATTAAAAAAAAAATAGTTGTCTTTGGCTAAACATTGATTTGGCAAATTTATTCCAACCCTGTCGAAGGTTTCACTTATATTAATAACTAGCAGCATGGCCCGGCGTTGCCCATGCTTGATTCAAAAATCGTACGACTCATACAGCAATCGCTATCACTTGACTTAAAATATTTTTGCCCTTCCTTGCCTTTGAAGGTGTGCCCTTTGGCGTTCTGATGTTGCTACATGCCTTACTTCTTGCCTATCTCACACTGCGAATTTTTTCTAAGCTCTATACTAAACATTAAATCTATTACGAAAAAAGAACTAAACAAAACGATCAGCTTTAAAATAGGACTCGTAACTGGAAAAACCGAATGAAAAAAGAATGTTAACAACAAATACTTTTTCACTCCCAACCCAGTTCAGCGGAATCAGAATCAACGTTGAATTTAAGCAAGCGAATGAGCCAATTGGAGTAAAGTGCCATGCAGATTTAAATTTTTCCCACTTGTGACGAATGCATCTATCGATTTTTTGCATGTTAGCATGCTAGTTAACATTCGTGTCAGTCAGCTATTGGCTCTCACGCTGGTCAGTAGAATCTTCCTACCTATTCGTGGCAACCAGCTATAGGCTCTCACTCTGGCCAGTACAAAATGGCCGCAAACTACATGAAAACTGTCGTAGAAGCATGAAAAAATCGATTATTTCCAATATCGATGGGAGTTGGGAAATGCGGCCGTGCATTCGTTACACACACACACACACACACACACACACACACACACACACACACACACACACACACACACACACACACACATTTTGCCTTATATATTTATATATATATATATATATAGAGAGAGAGAGATAGATATTAAATGGTATAGATAAGATCGGAAAATCGAGGTTAAATATTTTTAGCGAGAAAGATTTCCTCTAAGTATATTGTTATTACTTAAAAAGGTTCAAACGTTAATAGTGAGTACTAATGTCTATGAGAGAATTTTTAATGTCTTTTAAGGCGAATTTCAGAATAGGTATGTAGGAGGCAAGGTGGAGTAACGTATTGAGGAATCGGAAAGGCCGAGTTCGAATTCCAGTCGGATCCGTTACATTCACTTACGTGATCCATACCTTGGAAAAGGGATGGATCCTTTTCTTCTAAAATAGGGTTTTAACTGGGTTTTATAGCCTTGGATGGCAAGAAGAAGGTAACTCTGGATTAAAAAAACGGCTTGAAGTGGGTTGGGCTCTGTTAGGCTATCTTGCCCAAGAAACACCACTTCTACGGTGGCTTTAGCGGTGCCTCTATGACTCTTGTGGGTCACGGGATTCCTGATCGCGCGATGTAGGAAGTAAATTGGTACTAGTTAGCTTGTTAATTCATAGATAATGCAAGCTTTTTCTGGTTTTGTTACTTTAAATCAGATCCCTCAAAAGAGAGATGAAGCCTAAAAACCCTTTGACAGTACCAGTCACCAGTCATACCGAAATCTATCTATCTATCTATCTATCTATCTATCTATCTATCTATCTATCTGTCTGTCTGTCTGTCTCTATCGATCTATCTATCATCTCTTTCTTTTTTCTTTCTCATTCTCTCTCACTCTCTCTCTCTCTATCTATCTATATTCTTTCTCTCTCTCTCTCTCTCTATCTATCTATCTATCTATCTCTTTGTCTCTATCTATCGATCTATCGATCTATATATCTATCTATCTCACTCACTTCATCGGCAAGCGACCTCCAATAACCCGAAAATAACCCACAAAGTGTTGATAAGTCGTAAGAAAACAGATCACTCATTCTTTCCATTTATCCATATCTATTTATCGGCGACCTCCTGTAATAAGAAATTTGTTTCAGCTTTAAATAACCCATAAAGGGTTGATAACCTGTAAAAACAGATCAATCAATCAATCAATCATTCTCTTCATATCTATCTATCTATCTATCTATCTATCTATCTATCTATCTATTGATCAGTCCAAATCTTTTTATATCTATCAATCTAATGTGTGTGAAATCCTTTCTATGTACGTGTGTAAAAAAACAAATGTTTGGTCTAAGTGTGTGCCATTAAACAAAACAAACAACGGAATAGATAATAACAGTTGCGGCTTCCCTGAAGCACGATTCCGAACAAACAAAGCCCTGTATATGCTGTGATTGCAATTAGATGTCAGCCGACACAAAACAGACGAACAGATGGTCATTCGAGCAGAAAAAAAAAAAAAAAGATTTGCCCACACTCTCCCCAATTTCGAAACGCTTCAATAAGCTTTTGACTGACACAGATTTTAATCTTTTGCAGATGGAACAAATATTTCGACTTTTCCGTGATTTTTTTTTTATCTTTTTCAGTTTTATGCACGCAAATAGCCCACCACAGGTAAGTACATTCGGAAAACAAACGCACTTAAATCACACCTTTTACTAAGGGATTTATGGACTTATTTCTTTCTTTTATTTTTTGAATTTTTCTTTCTTGAATTATTTAAGCCTTGTCATTGTTCTCAACGCCATTTTCTTTAGACATATTGTCGTCAGTTTCTTTAATCTTTGGGTTTATGACATGAGATGTATTTTTCTCTTGCATTTCATTAAAGCTTTTTCGCGTCAAGTTTCATCTCAAAATTTCATCTCTTCAGATGACATATTTCTTTATTTTTCCTTTCTTCTCTTTATCTATTTTTCCATAAACTTTCTGGAGTTTTCTATTTTTTCATTTCACTCGATTTGAATATATATATATATATATATATATATATATATATGTGTGTGTGTGTGTGTGTGTGTGTGTGTGTGTGTTTATTTTAGCCGCATACATTTTTTTATTTCGTTCATTACTTTGACCATTTCTTTTTTCTATTTCCACCTTCCTCTTCTTTCTTTTCCTTTTTTATTTTCTAAAGACTTTCTTTTTTCAACCTCCTTAATTTCTTTCTTTCTTTCTGTAGTTTCCTAGAGAATTTCTATCTTTCTTGCTTTCTGTCTTTCTTTCTTTCTTTTAAAAATCACTTCTTCCTCTTAGTTTGTCTCTCTCCCTTCTCCTACCTTCTTCATTCTTCTTTCCCCCACTTTTTCTTTTACCTTTTACTTTGTCTTCCTCTTGTTCCTTTTCAACTCTTTCTTTCTTTCTTTCTTTCTTTCTTTCTTTCTTTCTTTCTTTCTTTCTTTCTTTCTTTCTCCAAAGACTCATTTTGATCATCCCACCGATTTCTTTTTTCTTTTTAAATCCCCACCCCAAATGATTCCATTTCTTTTCCCATAATTCTAGCCCCATTGTGGCTGACAAGATTACTGCTGCCAAAATTTTTCAACTCCTGTAAACAGTTTGCTTGCGTTTTTATTTTAATTCTTTTTTTCCCTTTCTTAAATCGAAAAGAACAAAACTCCTTAAAAGTTGCGTGTGGCTAACCGCGAACGGATGATATTGCAAATAAAAAAAAAAAAGAAATTTTAATAAATATAAAAATTGCAAACAATCAAAAATGGGACAATAAAACAGAAAACGAAATAAACAAAACAAAAAAACAAAAAACAAACCCCCCCCCAAAAAAAAACGAAGAATGTAATTATAAAAAAAAAACCCAAATAACTACAATAACAAATTAATCTCACCAACAAAACCCCCTCAACCCACCCGACGTATACATTGCGCTGATTTGTAAAATCCCAATTCTTTAATCTTCTTTTATTATGATTTTATTTCACCATTTTATATTCTTTTAGGAAAATACATAATTCCTCATTCCCCCCCCTCACTCCATCGACCACGAATTGGGACATCTTGGTTTCTTCAATGGGGGCAACCCGCATCGTTGACCCCCCCTCCCTCCCACTCAAACTGCACTTCGTTTTATCAATAAACGGAACAAGACATTTCAAAATGAAGATCCATGTTAGAAATTAATTCTTAGAAACAAATCCCTGCTGTTTAGGCAGGAAAGTTTGTTATACGTTTCAGATAGTTTTTTTTTTTTTAAATTTTTTTTCTCAATTATTTTGCAAAGTTTTCGGAATGAAAGAATAAATAGGATCATTACCAAGAATTTCTGAAATCGGGAATCTCAGATCCGTCGGTCGGTCATAGCCCGGATTCCCATTCGCCAATTCTTCCCTGAAAAATCAGGAAAAAAAAAAAACAAAAAAAAAAACCCAGAAAACTTACTTTTCACAAGATTTCAAGAAATGGAAAAAATTCCCAAAATTGAAATTAAAGAAACCATGTTTGTTCTTTAATATATTATTATTATTATTATTATTATTATTATTATCATTCTCCTTCTCCCCCCACCTCCTCTTCTTCTTCTTCTTCTTCTTCTTCTTCTTCTTCTTCTTCTTCAATGCTCTCTTTATCCTTATAATGTCCAATCTTCTTTCTCTCTCTTTCTCTTTTCTCTCTATTCTTCTCACTCATTGTTCCATATTTCCTATCTATTTTTAATGCTTCTACATCTCGAACGATGAATGAGTAGATTTAGGAACGATGATCCATTTTCGACTGCAATCTCAGCGAAATTGATAGGGATTAGCGGCCACAACTCTTACAAAAAGCTTACACTCTCTCACATATTAGAGACGGTATCTCCTTGCCTTTGACTGTGACGTTTCAACACTATAATATGCGATGCAAGACAACACTAATTCCATGCATCATTTACCAAATCCCTGATTGACTGATTTGTTGTTTTTAGAACTTATCAACTATTTGTATGTTATTTAAAGCTGAAACATATTTCTTTGATTTTAGAATGATTCTTTTAACAATGATTTTTCCAGATACATGTCCTACTGTTTAATCCATAGCTGAGGATAGGAGATGGATTTCGTACATTTTCCGATGGTATTTTGCACATAAGTGAATGTAATGAACCCGACGGGAATTCGAACTCAGCTCTCCGATTTCCCATTCCAAGCCGCTATTAATTACGCCACCCGCGTTCACCAGCCACTCAGAATTCCAAATTTGGGATTTGTTTTGTCGGGGGTTACTCTCTATTCCTTACAATACACTCTGTTCTCAAACGGTCCACCATTTAAGCAACGACCATGCCCGACGTTGCTTAACCTCCAATGATTAAATGAGAACTTGTGCTTTTAGCGTGACAGGAATATTAAAGCATAAAAGAAACATATACTGACAAAATACATTCCTCCAGAAGACTGTTTTAATCAATGGAAAAATGTGAAACATTTGCATTTTGAATTCATGCTGAATGATGTATTCAGCCTGAATTCAAAATGCAAATGTTTCACCGATTGAAAATAATTTCATGTTTGGCTAATAAACTACATTTTATAATAAAAATCCGCTGAGCAAGATATTTATCCAGTGAGGACACGTGCTCAGAAAAATGAGTGTAGTTTTAACACTTGATTGCTTACAAATACGCTACACGTGTACATGCATTTAAATTTAAATAGAAATCAGATATGTTCAACATATGATTTTTGTACCGTTATACAAGAATATATCCATATGGGAATCGCGTACAGGGTCATTGTCTTACTTATTTAGTAGATCAGTAGATTTCCAATTAATATTGAATTAATTTGTACATTTTCCCAATTCTCAGATGTTGTTGACTTTTTTAGGTTGACGTTAAATTATAGTAAGCATTTTTTGTTTTGTTTTTGTCTTACAAAACGTGGTTCGCATTTCGAAATTATAAATGACTGCTTTCAAAAGAATAATAATTCCCATATCAATAATAAGATTTTTTTTGTGTTCTGTCGAAGATGGCCGCTTTATAAAACTGACGTGATAAAGTATGTTAAGGTAATGGTAGGTGGCGCCTATATCAATTGCTCTTTGACATCTGCTGAGTCAATGTGAACAACTGTCTAGTCTGCACATCACCAGGTGATTTGGATTATCAAAGTTCAAACATAGAGCTATAGTGGTTACCAGACGCATGGAATATTTTTATTTCAGAAATTTTGAGGACATTTGATATCTCTTGATCTATAGTATTGTTGCGTGTGCTTAGAATACCTGATGGAATACATTTCCAAAGCTCATAATACTTACCTGTGCTGGTGGAATCATGGCTACGACTAGCTTGGACCGGCTCTGACCAGCTATGACAAGCCAAGATCAGCTATGATTAGCTTACACCAGCTCTGACCAGCTTGGACAAGCTATGACCAGCTAAGACCAGCTTAGTCCAGCGACCCGAGTGAAAACACTCGGGTCCCCACGTTAAAAACTGACCTTGTGTCACGACCTGACTCAGTGGAGGCGGGGGTCAAGTAAATCTCCATTTCCAAAGCTCGTGACCTGAAGTACAGTAATAGACATGTGACACTAGCTTAAATCCCATTTTAATTCAATGTTGGAAGCACATAGACGCATATCCAGTATGTCATTTCCATTTTCTTTAGCTTCCATAGACGATGGTAGTAGAAAACAATGAAACCGGACACAGCACCTTACCTGATTTATAATATATCTAATTGAACCCTAGCGGAGAGGTTATAAATTATGTTTCTATTTCTATCGTACTAATCGTATAGTTAGGGAATGGCCCGGTCCCATAAGTCCATGGACACCAATTGTGAATAAGATACCATACAGACTAATGCTAGGTACATAATGACATAGGGTGTGCTTATGTGGCATGGATAGCGTTCGCTGGTCCGCTTAAACAAAGCATTGACAATTGACTGATACATTGCACTGATTGAATCTATTGCTAGATCAGCTGATAAGAAAGTTGCTTCACTATGTCGTGCTAGACAATTTTTCTCTCCAAAATTTATCTTACATATTTATAAGTCTACTATTCATCCATGCTTAGAATATTGCTGCTACATATGGCCCGATGTTCCTGTCATATCTTTAGAGATTCTTAAAATAATATTCAAAGAAGAATGAGAAATATTATTGGTCTTGATCTAAGAACTCGGCTTCAATCTCTGCTGTAAAGTTGCTTCCCTGCACGATTTTCTATAAATACTTTTTATGGTAATTGTTCGGATGAGCTCTTCATTCTGGTACCGAGACTTTTTCATTTAAGCGCAGTACCAGATTAATAACGAAGTCTCATCGATTTACACTTGAAATGGCTAACTATAATCGAAAGTTTTAGACTAACAGTTTCTTTTCTCGCACTTCGCGTTTGTGAATTCTCTTCCAGCTCTTTGATTTTCAACCAAATTTGATCTTCAAAATTTTAAACAAAATTTTCATCTACTGGCTTCTTGATTCATCTTCTTTCTCGTTCCTTAATTGTATTTTTTTCTTTTTCTTATTATTTCACACTCAGTAATCCCTTGTATCTTAGTGGCTTGCTTGGATGAAAATGATTAAACCAAATATATTTTAGTACATAACTATTGAGTAGAAAGACGACCGACCCTCTTTACCCTAATTGTTGAACATGGGCTCATCCATCTGCTATGAGTAAAACGTCTGCTCAGACGAACGGTTGTCAGCAAATGGATCGCAAGGTGTAGCCATTGAGTCGTACGCATTGCCGCACTGAACTACGGTATCCTTTATTACTGTATTATTAACCCACGTCTCTCATGTAATTAAGTCTATTCTTCAATCAACCTTTTGTTCCAGAGTTTTCCTCGCAGTATTATTAACCAGAATTACGTGCGTTATACGAACTTTATTACAATAACTCTTTTACAAGTAAAGCGGGATAAATATGGGTTCTACAGACCTTAGTAAATACAGGGGTTGGACAAAATAATTGGAACACTTGTTAAATTCAAAGAAAATTTATTTAACCCTAACCATTGATCCTCCTTTAGCCACACAGACAGCTTTAATACCTCTAGAAATGGAAACATACAGCTTCCTGACTTAATCCAGAGGAATTTTCAGTCATTCTTCCATTAAAACCTTCTCCAGCTCTTTACGACACGACGGTGGAAGATAGCGGCTCCTAACTTGTTGCTCGAACCTGCACCACAAATGTCCAATAATATTGATATCTGGAGATTGGGGAGGCCACTCCATGTGTTCTAGCTCACTTTCATCCTCTTCATACAAATTCTTAACCACTCGAGCGGTATGTATTGGAGCATTATCGTCTTGGAAGATGCAGTCACCATCAGGGAATAAAGTCTTGGCCATTGGATGAAGATGATCTCCCAAAATGTTCAGGTAATCTTGGCTGTTGATTCTACCATGCAGGACAACTACTGGACTGAGACATTTCCATATGGCGGCCCAAACTATCACTGAT